TGTTTCATATGTTTATTTTTACTACTTTTGTCTATGCGTCTACAAAATGTTAGGGGCGGGGCCTCAGATGACAGTGGGTGTGGAATCATGACTGACAGCTCAACACAGTGGCTAGACAAAATATACATAGTTCCCAATGACGTCATCATCCAGGTACATCAACCAGCAATGCTATGTTTGTGGGCTAGCATTTAGCTTGTAGCTAGCTAGGAAACATGAAGGAAACAAATCACACAAGTTAGCTACAAAAATAAATAAATAAATAAAACACTGAATGAGGCAGGCAGGAACCACAAGGACAGTGAGCTTTGGTCATAAATCATGACACCAAAAAAAGCATAAAAAGTTAAAACTCAAAGCAGTACTAAGCTTTGGTGTTCAAAGTCCTATAGATTATTAGTTAATTATAATAGTTGATCATTAACCACATCAAACTTTCTAATATTAATAATGGTCTGAACACATTCTGAAGAGCAGGGATTGAGGGAAATCTTTGAGGTTGATACTTGTTAACCACAAAGGGCCATGTGTTAAAAAAATGTACTCAGGGTTTCCCCGTGAAAAATATCTAACCCCCAATTTAYATTACTTGTGTTCCGTCTCTCCGCTCCGGTCCGACCTCCGCAGCAAATACGCACCAATTATAATCAATGAGAGCGTTTACACTGGCTGCACACGGCTGCAGTGAGCGGACGGCGATCCGTCAAAATTAGAACAGATCCTATTTTTGACGGATGCCGGAGCTGTGCCAGAGTCAGATTTTAAAGATTACGTCGCACCAACAGGAAAAGAAACGAGCATAGCATCCGTATTTTCAAAATAAGACACTTTTCGGCTTTGCGGGTCGCGTCTGTGGTCCCCCCACAGTCCCTTTGAAACATTCCATTGGAGAGATCCATGAATGCTCACAACTGCACACAAACAGGTGTTTACATCCTGGCTTTTCTTTTCGGGCACTGACGGAAGGGTATGTGCATATGTGTATAATAATATGTATGTATGTATGTATGTATATATACTCACCGGCCACTTTATTAGGTACACCACGCTAGTAACGGTTTTGTGGTCATAAAGGGATGGACATGGTCAGCAACAATACTCAGGTAGGCTGTGGCGTTGCAACGATGCTCAATTGGTACCAAGGGGCCCAAAGAGTGCCAAGAAACCCCACACCATGACACCACCACCACACC